CCCCAAAACCCCAAAACCCCAAAACCCCTAAGTCAGTCTCCAAGATTGAAGATTGTTCACTAAAATTATTTACTTTGGCTGCTCTGGAGTGATAGTCTTGGCATATTCGTGGAAGCTCTTGCCCATTACTCTACTGAATACAAACTCTTTCTTTGTGAATCTATTCTTTGAGAAAATCTTCTTTTTATCCTATACCAAAGTTAGGGCTTGATTATAGAGGCTTGATTTCAGTGTGGTTCAAAAATTTGGCCTTAATAGAGCATTTGACTGTACTTTAAGCAACAGGCTTAGTACTTAAAGAGAAATTTGATTGATACATGTATCCAGATACAACCCATTATTGCTCAAATAATACCATTCTCAAATTTTAGTAAGAGGTGGTAATGATTGGGGTCAAAGAATAGGAGCAATCCTTAAGGCTCTAATCTTATGAAAGTGGCACTACTGCAGCCAGATACTTACTTTTGTCTTGAGCTCTATCACCTTTACTAAATAGTCATATATAATTCTCTGTAGGTCGAAGTCTAAGCCTGGCAGCTTACAGGGGTCATCCTTCTGATAGAGAGGATGACTTGAATGGGTTTCGTAATGTTTCTATTATGAGTAAAATAGCTTACCTTGAAACCCCTCTTTTCAATAAACCCTTTATTTCTTCTTATGCCTATAAGTATTTAGGACAGCTTACAGTTAGGAATTGGACATTTGTATGGCTTATCTCACTTATTGCCACTCCAATGCTTCGGAATATGCCTAATCAAGGAATAGGAGAAAGCGAATTCTTTCTCACAACAAGGGCACTATATAAGAAGAGTAAGGTAGATATTGAAGAATAGACTTGGTCTAATTTTTATGAACTTCGATAAATCTAAAGAACTTCAAAGCACAAATCAGTCAAATCTTCTGACTTTGTGATGCTAAATTTATGATAGTAAAGAGGGGCTTATTTTGCTCCACAAAGTTGAGTCCTTCATCAAATAAGAAGCATGACTGTACATTCAAGGATCTTTTTGAAGTCTATAGGAGTGAGTACATTTTCAGTAAAATCTTACTTTCAAAAGTTTTCTCAAAGCTTTGATATTGAGGCTAATGTTACTTTTCTGCTCTCTACGATTTCTCAGTCTAGTGAAAGGATTTTTTTTAGACTTTGGCTTTCTCTCCACAGATGGCTCCCCAGGTAACAAGTCCCGGACTGTGACTGTAGAACAAGCACTCTTATCAGGTGCCTCTGATTGATTCTGACTCTTTGGAGCTTTCTGAGGTAGAATTTCACTAAAATTAGGAGGATTAGTAGCAGGCTCTTCAAAAGAAGCATCAAGTATGATAATTTCATCTTCCTCACTATCTGATTCAGTCTTTCCTTCTTTGGTATTGGATACTACCTTATCTGACAAAGATTTGTCCGGTCTCTAAATAGTTGACCAAGCTTACTCTTTTAACTCAGGCTCAGTGTACTTCCCTTGATTGCATACTTTTTCAGTGGGCTGACTGTCCATACACTGTTGTCTTTCTGGATTTGGAGATTTAGAATCTTCTGCCTGCTTTGCTTCATCAGGCTTCTCTTGCAGAACTAAGGACTTTTGGGTTGATACTTCCTTATGTTCTTTGGTGTCATTTTTTGAAATTTTGGGGCATACTATAATATTTAGAAATGAGGATCGAAACCTGTGTTTTGGTTCAGGTACTTGTTCTTCTGTTCTAGTGTGTTGTCAAACAAGTCTATAATAAGAAAGAGGCTTACCAAGCAAGTAGCAATATAAACTATCCCTTTTTTTCTCTTTTGCATCTGCTTTAGACTCTTCAGTCAATTTCTGACAACTGAATGTATTTTGAATTGCTTCAGCCCAACCATCAGATGGCAAATCTCCTGTAAATTTATGACTTATCTTTACCTATCAGTCCAAATGCTTTATGAATAACTTCAACATTTTTATTCAGATAGTCTAAACCAATACTGACTTCACCTTACCTGGTATCCCTGACATCTACTTAAATATTATTATTCAGTCCTTCACAACCCTCCAGGGGTTTTGGGGTTTTGGGGTTTTGGGGTTTTGGGG